AAACCTTTTGGGGAATCTGGATGCAAGTTCGAGTTTGTGACAAAATGCAAAGCCTGGCCAGTTTCACTAGTTTCGAGTTCCACTGCAAACATTTTGTACAGCTCCAATACAAACATTACTGTAGCTGGGCCTCTTCTTTGCCGTTGCTGCAGCATCAAGTCCAAGCAGCATCAGAGAGTGCCCTAAACCCTAGAGTTTTCATGCCAGATGGGCTCTATTATAAGGAGAGATGGGCTCAGATCCAAATTGCCAACCCCAAGTGTCCAAAAATCCTGAATCAGGCCCTGAATATGTTGAGATTGGCTAAAATCTCATGAGATTGTAACCAGTGGTGAATTTGGGTTCTTTTAATTTGCCTCCCGATTTTTGAGCCATTAGGGGTCTTGTTTTCCTGCTTTTCTCCACAGCCATGAGGTCTATAAATATAGAGCCAGATACTCAGTTGGTGTAAATCAGCATAGCGCCATTTACTTCGCTGGAGCTATGACAGTTTGCACCAGCTGAGGATTCGGTCCTTATTTATAATTTTTTTTTTCAAATGAAAACTGAGATTCTATCATAATCCCAGCACTCCAGTAGCTGGTTTTCATGAGATTCAGCGACACTGCATACCAGACCTTGCTTTTGACTCCCCTCTAGCACCCTTGGACCAGGTAGGGATCTGAGTACACAGTTTAAGCCTATCTCTGTAATGTCTTGAATACCAAATCTGTCCTGGCTTGAATGCACAAAAGGAGTTAAATACCTAAAATCCTGTTTTAGACCCCTAAATCCCGCGTTTTGGGACACTGCAATGTACTAAACTCCTGCTGAATCCTGCAGGTACCTAAACTCATTCAGCACCTAAGTTTTGGCAGCAGAAATTGCCAAGGCACCTAGGTCTTTGCCTCTGAGCTAGTGCATACTGCCTCCCTGTCTGGGTGCCCTCACCACCAGGGTATAGAGTCATTCTTATGCTTGTGCTCTCTTTCTGGCACAAATAATGAGAGAGAGACAGAGACCTATATCCCAGGGTCCAGTCCCCCTGCTCCAATGACTCTAATTATTTAGCCACAGGGCAACAGCTTCCACTGGAGAGACTAAGGCCTGGTCTACACTACGAGTTTATGCTGGATTTAGCAGCGTTAAATCGAATTAACCCTGCACCCATCCACACAACGAAGCCATTCTTTTCGACATAAAGGGCTCTTAAAACCGATTTCTGTACTCCTCCCCGACGAGGGGATTAGCGCTGAAATCGACATCACCGTTTCGAATTAGGGTTAGTGTGGCTGCAATTCGAAGGTATTGGCCTATACAGAAATCGGTTTTAAGAGTCCTTATGAAAACAGAGAGTGCCCTAAACCCTAGAGTTTTCATGCCAGATGGGCTCTATTATAAGCGTAGAAGTGACATGTCTGGGGCTCTGTCCCGGAGCGTCCGTTTGATTCTTTGGTTTTCTGGTACACTTGTCTGAGCTCCTTAAGTTTCATGCGGCACTGTGTTGCATCCCTGATGTAGCCTCTGTCTCTCATGGCCTCGGAGATTTTTTGAAATGTTTTGGCATGTCGTCTTTTGGAACGTAGTTCTGATAGCATAGATTCCTCTCCCCAAACAGCGATAAGAACCAGTACCTCCTGTTCGGTCCATGCTGGAGCCCTTTTTCGATTCTGGGACTGTATGGTGACCTGTGCTGATGAGCTCGCCTGGCCAAACAGGAAATGAGATTCAAAAGTTCCTGGGGCTTTTCCTGTACACCTGGCCAGTGCATCCGAGTTCAGAGTGCTGTCCAGAGCGGTCACAATGGTGCACTGTGGGATAGCAGCAGAATACGGACCCTGGACTTCAGAAAAGCAGACTTTGACACTCTCAGGGAACTGATGGGCAAGATCCCCTGGGAGAATAACATGAGGGGGAAAGGAGTCCAGGAGAGCTGGCTGTATTTTCAAGAATCCTTATTGAGGTTACAGGGACAAATCATCCCGATGTGTAGAAAGAATAGTAAATGTGGCAGGCGACCAGCTTGGCTTAACAGTGAAATCCTTGCTGATCTTAAATACAAAAAAGAAGCTTACAAGAAGTGGAAGACTGCACAGATGACCAGGGATGAATATAAAAATATTGCTCGGGCATGCAGGAATGAAATCAGGAAGGCCAAATCACACCTGGAGTTGCAGCTAGCAAGAGATGTTAACAGTAACAAGAAGGGTTTCTTCAGGTATGTTAGCAACAAGAAGAAAGTCAAGGAAAATGTGGGCCCCTTACTGAATGAGGAAGGCAACCTAGTGACAGAGGATGTGGAAAAAGCTAATGTACTCAATGTTTTTTTTGCCTCTGTCTTCACGAACAAGGTCAGCTCTCAGACTGCTGCACTGGGCAGCACAGCATGGGGAGGAGGTGACCAGCCCTCTGCGGAGAAAGAAGTGGTTCGAGAATATTTAGAAAAGCTGGACGTGCACAAGTCCATGGGGCCAGATGTGTTGCATCTGAGAGTGCTAAAGGAGTTGGCGGATGTGATTGCAGAGCCATTGGCCATTATCTTTGAAAACTCATGGCGATTGGGGGAAGTCCCGGACGACTGGAAAAAGGCTAATGTAGTGCCCATCTTTAAAAAAGGGAAGAAGGAGGATCCTGGGAACTACAGGCCAGTCAGCCTCACCTCAGTCCCTGGAAAAATCATGGAGTAGATCCTCAAGGAATCAATTCTGAAGCACTTAGAGGAGAGGAAAGTGATCAGGAACAGTCAGCATGGATTCACCAAGGGCAAGTCATGCCTGACTAATCTAATTGCCTTCTATGACGAGATAACTGGCTCTGTGGATGAAGGGAAAGCAGTGGACGCGTTGTTCCTTGACTTTAGCAAAGCTTTTGACACAGTCTCCCACAGTATTCTTGCCAGCAAGTTAAAGAAGTATGGGCTGGATGAATGGACTATAAGGTGGATAGAAAGCTGGCTAGATTGTCGGGCTCAACGGGTAGTGATCAATGGCTCCATGTCTAGTTGGCAGCCGGTATCAAGTGGAGTGCCCCAAGGGTCAGTCCTGGGGCCGGTTTTGTTCAATATCTTCATAAATGACCTGGAGGATGGTGTGGATTGCACCCTCAGCAAGTTTGACACTAAACTGGGAGGAGAGGTAGATTCGCTGGAGGTTAGGGGTAGGATACAGAGGGACTTAGACAAATTGGAGGACTGGGCCAAAAGAAATCTGATGAGGTTCAACAAGGACAATGTTTTTGCCCCATCAGGCAGTGGGATTTCTACCCAGATTTCAAATGGGCGGCGGAGACTGCGGGAACTGTGGGATAGCTACCCACAGTGCAACGCTCCGGAAGTCGATGGTTGCCTCAGTACTGTGGACGCACTCCGCCAACTAAATGCATTTAGAGCATTTGTGTGGGGACACACACAATCGACTGTATAAAAACGCTTTCTACAAAACCAACTTCTATAAATTGGACCTAATTTCATAGTGTAGACATGGCCTGAGGAAGCCCCACATTCAGAATATCCCATAGCCCAATGGTTAGAGCACTCACCTAAGAGATGGTAGTTCCCTGTTCAAATCCCCTTTCTCCTTCAGGTGGAGGTGGGCTTTAGCCAAGGGTCTCCCACATCCTAGGGGAGTACCCTAACCACTCTCCTCCTCCTTACTAACAACATAGGTGCTGCTGCCAAGAGAGGATTTACAGTTCAGAATCCCAAACAGAGCTACGTGCCTCCCTATAGCCTGGATTTAGGCACCTACCTCTGAGACTTGGTGGGATTTAGCACAACCCATCTCATTGGCATCTCCCATTGGCTAGCTTAGGCTGCTCCCCACATAGTGTGCTGGCTTTTGTGAGTTGCAGTCCAAAGTTCCTGTCTCTCCCCGTTTATTGTAGAGGAGCTTGGACGCCTACCTCAGGCTTTGTGAATCAGTTCAGTGTCACCATGCCAAATTCCTTTTGTGCATTCAGGTCTCTACAATTTGCTTAAGTTTGGATTGGAATCTAGATTTCAACAGTCCAAGTGCAAGCGTGTTCAAATCCTGGCTTTTGCTTCAGTCCATTAAAGCAGAAGTTCCCAACCTTTATCTAAGATGACGCACCATTTTGTCTTTTTTTGCAACCTATCATTATATATACGCACCCTCTGCCCCAGGACCAAAACCCTAATCCTGGCCTGGTGCAGAGGGGCAGCCCTGGGCGCGGGAGGGTCGGGGGATGGAGTGTGAACCCAACCCCACTCACCTTACAGCAGCAGCTCCTGTGCCCTCGGGGCCAAACCTGAGTGGCACTGCAAGTCCGTGTCCCAGGCTGCAATGTCTGGAACAGGGATCCAGCCCCAGCCCCGCTGGGCAGGAGCTTGTGTGTGGGTTGAGTGTGGGGTGGACTCATTCTCCACACCCCACCTCCTCACCCACCTAGGCCCTCCCCTCGGCACCAGAACAGGAGAAGTATATGCTTGCCTAGGCCAGTACCTAGTAATGGATTAATCGGCCCTGGACATGGCAAACCATCTAGAGCTCTCCAGTGACCTACTGGTGTTCGGAAAACAGTGTGTTAGAGAGATAAGGGGCCAGATTCACTTACACCAGTATAAATCAGGAGTAACTCAGCCCATTCTAATGTGCATATTTCCTCAGCACCCCCTGAGGACAGCTTTCAAGTGGAGGCCTCTGTAGCTGAAGAAAGAGGATCAAATCTCTATGTTACATAACAGTCGTCTGTCCACCCCGCCCCCCGCCCCCCCCTTGAGTTTGCTTGGAAGCATTTATCTGAGCATTGACCTGTGCTATTGTAGCAGAATATTTTTGCGGTGGGTGGGAAGTTGATTGCTCAGTGCAATAGGGATGTTTAAAAAGCGCAGGTATCAGTTTGTTATCTGTCTAAAAGAATTCTTATTATAGAATCATATGCTTGTTTGAAACTTGGAACGTGCATCACCCCGGCACACAAAACCCCCTGGGAAATGCTCCAAGCGAGTGTCAGAATGACATACATTCCTGCCCTGCTTTAATGGGAGGTCTCTCTCCTTTCAGTTTGAAATAGAAATTCAGAGGATTTCAGAAGCGTATGAGGGCCTGGTCAAGACCACCACTAAGAGAGAGTCTCTGGACAAGGCTATGAGAAACAAGCTTGAAGGAGAAATTAGGAGACTTCACGATTTCAACAGGGATCTCCGTGGTATGTTGAGTTTTTTACACATTTTTTCACTCTAAGTGACATGCTGTATCATTCCTCAATTATCAAGCTCCTAATCGCCAGCCTCAGGCTTTAGACAAACCGATTTTCATGTGTTTTAGATAAACTGCTTTAGAAATCAAGTTCTGTTTGTTGGTAAAGGATAAAAATGCTCTGATTTTCCAAGTTACAAACAAGTTCCCCAGCAAACTACATGAGACAACTTTAAGCATTGGATTTTTGTTCTAATTCTTAAAACACCAGTTTAACCTGAAGACCAAAATTATAAACTCTGCAGTAAACCTCTAAAGGTTATTCTTCCCAGTCTGCAAATCTAATCTATAATGAGCTCAACAGCAAGGTATGTAATATAATGTAATATATAATATAAAATATAAGTCTCAAATAGGACTGTCGATTAATCACAGTTAACTCACATGATTAACTCAAACAATTAATCACAATTTAAAAAATTTATCACGATTAATCACAGTTTTAATTGCACTGTTAAACAATAGACTACATTGAAATTTATTAAATATTTTTGAACGTTTTTCTACATTTTCAAATATATTGATTTCAACTACAACATAGAATACAAAGTGTACAGTGCCCACTTTATATTATTATTTTTATTACAAATATATTTGCACTGTAAAAATGATAAGCAAAAGAAATAGTATTTTTCAATTCACCTCATACAAGTACCATAATGCAATCTCTTTATCATGAAAGTGCAACTTACAGGTGTAGACTTTTTTCGTTACATAGCTGCACTCAAAAACAAAACAATGTAAAACTTTAGCGCCTACAAATTCACAGTCGTCCTTCTTGTTCACCAATCGCTAAGACAAACAAGTTTGTTTACATTTACAGGAGATAAAGCTGCTGGCTTCTTATTTACAATGTCACCTGAAATTGAGAACAGGCGTTTGCATGGCACTTTTGTAGCCAGCATTGTAAGATATTTACATGCCAGATACGCTAAATATTTGTATGCTCCTTCATGCTTCGGCCACCATTCCAGAAGACATGCTTCCACGCTGATGACGCTCGTTAAAAAAGTAATGTGTTAATTAAATTTGTGACTGAACTCCTTGAGGGAGAATAGTATGTCTCCTGCTCTGTTTTACCCGCATTCTGCCATGTATTTCATATTATAGCAGTCTTGGATGATGACCTAGCACATGTTGTTCGTTTTAAGAACTCTTTCACTGCAGATTTGACAAAATGCAAAGAAGGTACCGATGTGAGTTTTCTAAAGATAGCTACAGCAGTGGACCCACGGTTTAAGAATCTGAAGTGCCTTCCAAAATCTGAGAGGGATGAGGTATGGAACATGCTTTCAGAAGTCTTAAGTAGCAACACTCCAATGCAGAAACTACAGAACCCGAACCACCAAAAAAAAGAAAATCAGCCTTCTACTGGTGGCATCTGACTCAGATGATGAAAGTGAACATGCGTCGGTCTGCTCTGCTTTGGATCGTTATCGAGCAGAACCCTTCATCAGCATGGAGGCATGTCCTCTGGAATGGTGGTAGAAGCATGAAGGGACATATGAATCTTTAGAGCATCTGGCGTGTAAATATCTTGCAATGCCAGCTACAACAGTGCCATGCGAACCCCTGTTCTCACTTTCAGGTGACATTGTAAACAAGAAGCGGGCAGCATTATCTCCCATAAATGTAAACAAACTTGTTTGTCTGAGTGACTGGCTGAACAAGTAGGACAGAGTGGAGTTGTAGGCTCTAAAGTTTTACGTTGTTTTATTTTTGAATGCAGGATTTTTTGTACATAATTCTACATTTTAAGTTCAACTTTCATGATAAAAAGATTGCACTACCGTACTTGTATGAGGTGAATTGAAAAATACTATTTGTTTTGTTTTTTACAGTGCAAATATTTGTAATCAAAAATAAATATAAAGTGAGCACTGTACACTTGGTATTCTGTGTTGTAATTGAAATCAATATATTTGAAAATGTAGAAAACACCAAAAAATATTTAAACAAATGGTATTCTGTTATTGTTTAACAGTGTGATTAATTGCACGATTAATTAAGATTTATTTTTTAATCACTTGACAGCCCTAGTCTCAAATGCATTACAAACATTCAAAAGCCAAATTTTCAAAGAGCTTCCCATTGAATAGGCAACATTTGTAGACACCCTTTTTGCAAGTGCAAATGGATGTGCACATTGTTTAACTGTGTGCCTAACATCCACTGAGTGTGCACAGATTCCTCTTTGTGCGCTTGTCCAATGGAGGCCCTGTAAAAATTGAGTCATGATTTTACTCAGCACAGCTGGAGGCTGGTCACCATTTTACAGATGGAGAAATGGAAGTGAAGAGGCAATAAGGCTAGAGCCAATGGAGCAATGGGGTGCAGGGAGGTAGAATGAGTAGTGCCTGAGTGGTGGAGGAGGGTATCACATGTCTCTCTCTGTAGGGGAATCGCAGTTCAAAGCAGCACTGTTGCTCCTCTGGTACTAGCTGCTGGTCAGGAGTGAGGCTGTCCCCTTTGTGATGTGCAGCAGTACCACCCACAGCAGGATTGCCCTTGCACTTGCAGGGTGAGCTTCACCCGTGTACAGAGGGCTGGCAAAATGCTTAGGCATCATTTCATTGCCCTGTCATCCTCCAGGTAGTTCTTAATTGGGACAAAAGCATAGGCCTTGTGCTGGCCCTCAGCCTGGAGCTGAATTTCATCTGGAGACCACCACAAGCAGCTACATTAGAGTACTTCGTACCGTGATCCACAGTGCTGCAGGCATTCAGGTCTCCTATTTCCTGTACTGTTAGTTTCAGGCTTTCATCTCCTGAAGCTCGACAAATTCAAACAGGAAATAAGGGGCACTCTTTAACATTGAGGGCAATTAACCACTGGGAACACATTACCCAGGGATATAGTGGATTCTTCTTCACTTGACAGCTTTAAATTAAGTCTTGCTCAAAGAAATGCTCTAGCTCAGTGTTTCTCACTGACAGGTCCGTTGACCGGCGCCAGTCCCTGAGATCTCCCTGACACAGTTTAGGAAGGCAACAAGCTGGTCCCAGGTGTCAAAAAGGTTGAGAAACATTGCTCTAGCTCAACCACAAGTCACTGGGCTTGGGACAGGAATCACTGGGTGAAACTCTGTGGCCTGTGTTACTGCAGGCAGTCCAACTTGATGATCTAATGTTGCTTCTGGTTTTCAAATCTATGAAGGCCTGAACTCTGCCAACCAGTAAACATCTTCTTAGCAACCAGAAACTAAAAGATTAATCTTCTGAAGGAGTCCAGGGCTCATCCCTCACTGTTTGATATATACCTCAGCCTCTTTCATTTTTATATCTCCCTTTTGAGCTTCTATTTATACCATGCTGCTGGCATGCGTTTTCTTGGTTGTTGGCCTATAATTTTATATACATGTATTTATACTTAAAGTATTTCCTGTTTATGTGCAGACCGACTGGAGACTGCCAATAGGCAGCTAGCCAGCAGAGAATTTGATGGGCATGAAGATAAGGCAACAGAGGGCTTTTATGCCTCTCAGAGTGAGTACTGCATTCATCTCTTCTGAAGATATGGTTTTTAACTGGAGTGGAGGAGGGAGCTTAGTCATCATTTTTTATTTGTGGTTAGGTTTTACTTAGCTAGTTCGTTGTGTAACATTATTGCAGCTACCAGACTAGGTTCTGTTGCCTGTTGTTTCTCTGTGCACCAGAGCCATGCAACAGGAGTGAACGGTACACACAAATTAGCTCATTTTGATTAAATATTTACTTTAAAATGTTGCTTGCAGGGGTAGTCCCAGAACACACACATCTCAGAGAAGCCAAATTCTTCTCTCAGCTGGGGTAGGTTCAGAGTAACCTCCACTGACTTCATTGGAATGACTCAGGATAGACACTAATGTGAATGAGAGCAGAATTTGGCCCCTTCTTTGAAGAAGGGAACTGGAGGGACAGCAGTCATACACTTCTTGTGACATCCCAGGCATTTCCCCACAGGTTCAGGCTTCTTTATTGGCGGGATGCTGTGCTGTTCCAAACAGAACAAAACCAAATGAGAAATTTCCCACAAAAAAAAAAATTATGGAAAAAAATAGTTTTGGGTCAATCAAAAAGTTTTGTTTCGATAAAATCACAACATTTCATTCTGATTTTGACCTTTTAAAGAATTAATCTAAAAATAACTAATTTTCTTTAAAAAAAATAGCCATATTGAAATGGAAAATGAAAACATTCCATTCTGAATATTTTGAAATGGGACATTTTGATGTTATCAAAATATTTTGTTTCTTTTATTTCTGAACAAAATTTTGTCAAAATCTACATATTTTCTGAAATGTTTCTATTTCTACAAAACCAGAGTGTTTTGTCAAAACTCCATTTTGATGAAAAATTTCCAACCAGCTGTATCAAAGGAGCTTCAATGGGAGCTCAGGGTGTTGAAAACCTCCCTGGTGTTATGCAGCACCTTGTCGGATTTGATCCAGTTGAAGCAAATGTCCTGAATGTGACTTAATCTTCATTTTCTGGTGTGTGTTGATGGTTTCCTTGAATGACAGCATGTGACTATATAGCACTGACTGCATAATAATGTACGCAGGAGGCGAGATTTCAGGTTGCACAGACAGCCTTAATTTAGTCAGTGGATGATTCACTTTGCAACTGTAGCTTTCTTCTAGCATTGTTTTTTTAATATGGAATTTCCTACATTTTAAAAAAAGGAGAAATAGGGAAACAAAGAAATTCTACCATGTGCTGCTATTTGCTAGCAACACTAGAATGTGCTGCATTGCACAGCTTGTGCAATCTGTGAGGCAGGAGCCTCATTCCGTGCCCACCTGTCTATAATGTATTGACTTTTTCTTTCTTGTACAGTGCTTAATAGATACTAAATAGTTCTAGAGGTTTCAGAAGTGTTCTTCTACAAGTAGATGCAGCCATGTATTCCACATAAGTGTGTGTGCTCCCAGTGCATCGGAGCCTGAGAATTTTGCCTCATAGTACCCATAGCACTCACGCTTCATGGTTGTAGCCCCTCCCCTGGTTATATAAGGTATAGTTTGCTCTCACTGCCTGGGGCTGGAGTCGGAGCTCTGTGTGGTTTTCACCTCACAATCTCTTCTCAGTTACTGAGAGTTTTTTCTCTTTGTAGTTATACAGTTAAACCCTACTTAGTGTTAGTGTTAGTTAGCAAGTTAGTGTCGTTAGTGTAGTTAGTTGCCTTGGGTGATGCCCTCCCAAGGTTCAAACGCTGCCTGTCGTGTTCAAGGGTGATCCCCTTCAGTGGTCCCCACATGAGGTGCTTGCTCTGTGTGGGCAAGGGTCACGCCAAGGAGTGGTGTTAGATTTGTTAATCGTTCACAGAAAGGACTCAAGTGGATAGAGACCTTCGTCGGAAGCAGCACCTCATCGAGCAGGCCATGAGGCCTGTTTCAGCACAGAGGCCCGAGTTGGATCGGCGGTCGCTCTCAGATTCAGTGAGTGACGCTGCTCTGTGTTGCAGGGCTGGCATCTTTCCTAAGAGATGAAGAAGCTGTTCAGCCTCCTGGAGTGCGCCAAGGAAAAGGTCTCATAAAACCAATTGGGACCACTCCAGGTCTCGTGGAGACTCTTCTTCTTCGTTTAAGAGGAGTATGGACTGGTGTCGTGCTACTGCCTGCACGCGGGATGGAGCAGACCCTTCAAACTGCTCCCCAGTACCGCGTAGAGGCATAGGGGAGCACATAGCAGTGACTAGGATTACTAACTTTGGTTGGACATATTCCTGGAGGTTTCAGCAGATGACATAATCTTTAATTAAAGATTAATCTTTAATCCTTGGAGGCTCCAGGACAATCCTGGAGGGTTGGCACCTCTACCGGTGACTCTAGTTCCAGTTCTGGAACGTCCGTGGCGTCTGGTACCAATGACAGTGATGCCAGCACTGGGTGTTTACACACTGACAGTATACCAAGCAGCTGCAGATCTGCTCTGCCTATCAGTTCTGGGCTTCCCACTCATCCAGGACTTCACTGGGGTTATGGCATCCACGACCTTGTTGGCACCGTCTGGGCTTGTCTCAGTATCTTGGGGTCCGTGGACAACACAGCTGGATTTCCACCTGCCACAGACTGCAGAATTGAGGCCAGTGCGGGGCCTGGCACTGAGAACCTCCTCTGCACTGGTGCACTCCTTGGCACCGACATTGTCTTGACAGCAGATCCTGTCTTCCATCTCAGCACCATCTGCTGCATCAGTTCTAGAGCTGCTGATGTTAGTACCAACACTGCTCCTGGCCCCGGATGTAACTGTGATGTATTTGGTGTCGGCTGCGCCAATTCCATCAGCAGCACTAATACTTCTTTCCTACTAGGTAGCAGGTGAATCAGATCATCTCCTTACATCATCAGGGCCAGCTCCATCACTGTCCCCGGAGACCCAGGGCGCCTCAGGATTCAGGTTGGGATCTTTCTTCTGCTCTCCCCCACCTGATTGATGCCGAGAAGAGCACTGGTACCAAGACAGAGGCCGCGACCCAGAGTCTCCTGGCCACCAGTGCCCTACCCGTACTCCCAGAGACCTCCTTGGAATCTGTGGGATGGTCCTCAGTGTCAAAAGTCACATTCCTCACCCTGTTCCAGAGCAAGACCTGATAGGGGTACGTCGGCGGCGGTGGTGTTCCATTGTGAGTTCAGACATCGGTTGAGCTTCCCTTCTCAGAGTTGTCCCGTCCAGATCTGACAGTTCAGGGCAGGACCCATCTCTAGTGGAACTGCTGCTTCATCATCATCCCTTGATGATTTGAGGGTACCAGGCTCCTCTTCTCCATCAGTGCCTGAGGACTTCAAGGCCAACCAGGACCTTCTGCAGTGTGTGGCTGCTACCTTGGGCATCCAGGCAGCGTTCCTGCAGGAGAATACTCACAAACTACTGGATATTCTTCAGCCATCTTCCGCGGGAGGGTAGCCTTTTGACCTATTAATGAGGTACTACGGAGTCTGCGAACATTCTGTGGAGTACTCCGGCTTCAGTGCGACCTGCAGCGAAGCATTCAGAGAAACACCATTTTGTACCTACGCAGGGTTTTGAGGGCTTCTGTTCCCTAATTCCCTGGTTGTGACTGCAGCAAATGATGGGGCTTGGCAGGGCAGGTGTAAGTCTGTGCCCAAAGACAAGGAATCCAAGAGGATGGACTTAATGGGTAAAAAAATCTATACGTCCTCCTCCCTGCAAATGTGTATTGCAAACCAGCAGCCATTGCTATCCAAGTACAATTTTATTAATTGGACAGCTATGTCTAAATTTGTACACCAGTTACCTGGAGCCTCCAGGGACGAATTTTGAGCATTGGGAGCTGATTTCTATTTGGTGGCCAAGACATCCTTGCAGTCAGCTTTGGACATGGCAGGTACCTCGGCCAGAGTTGTGGCCTCAGCAGTAACCATGAGAAGGGCGTCGTGGCTGCAAAATTCAGGCATTGCTCCAGATGTGTTGCAGACTATTGAGGATGTGCCTTACAAAGGTCGAGTGCTTTTTCCGGAAAAGACTGCTGAAACCTTGCTCTCGTTTAAAGACTCAAGAACCAGCCTATGCTCTCTTGGGATATATACTCAGGCAGCATGGAGATGTCATTTTGACAGTGAGTGGCAGCATCAACTGTACCACTTGCAACACGCCTTTGGGCAATCCTTCCACCCCCAAGGCAACAAGACTACCCCAGAGAGGGTCATAGATCCCAGAGGCAGAGGCCGTCAGGTCTGGGGTTTGGCCAGCTGACTCTATCCTCTCACAGCATCTACCAAATGCCTGTTTTAATTTGTATGTCCGGGGCAGTGATCCAGTCATGATCACTATATCCCCATCCCCCCTTGTTTGGGGACAGGCTGTCTCATTTTCATAATGTTTGGGGCTCGATTACCACTGACAGCTGGGTCCTAAGCACCATCAGATCAGGTTATGCCATCCAGTTCTTTTCCATCCCTCCTTTCCACCTTCCTACCCCATCTCTCTTCAGGGAGCCCACTCACTTGACATTGCTCCTTGAGCAGGTTCAGTCTCTACTAGCTTTGAGAGCTGTAGAGGAAGTCCCTGTACAGCACCAGGGCCCAGGGTTTTATTCACAGTACTTTCTGGTTCCCAAAACCAAAGGAGGGGTGAGACTGATTCTTGATCTCTGCAACCTCAACAAATATATCAGATATGTGAGATTCTGGATGGTCACCCTATCAGCTATCCTCCCTGCGTTAAATCAGAACAACTCTGGACCGTCAGGGTGCTTATTTTCACATGACAGTTCTTCCGAGCCACAGACGGTTTCTCCAGTTCGTTGTGGCACACCGACATTATCAGTATACCATACTCCCTCTAGTCTGGCCTCTTCTCCCCCAGTTTTTACCAAATGGATGGGTGTAGTGACAGTATAACACAGGAAAGGGGGGAAATTCATATCTTCCCGTAACTACATGATTGGTTACTGAAGGGCAAGTCCAGAGAAGAAGTTCTCTCTCGTGTACACTCCACACTTCGCTGACTTGATCATCTGGGTCTCATTTGCAACAGAGACA